CGAGACGCGGTGCTGCCCTTCCTGCGCGCGCCGGCCCGAAGCCGGGCGCTGCCCGTTCGTGGCGCTGGCGTGGCGCGCGCTCCCAAGGCCCCGAATACGTGACTGAAACGCGTGTGCTTGGCTTTCCCGCAGCGGTGTGAATCCCGGGTTTCCTCGGTTCCCTTAGACTTGTGGCCGATTCTGCACAGTCGGGCCGCGTGGACCCACCCCCCTGCCGGTCTCGCGCCGCGTGTGCGCTGTCCAGGGGCCCGAGGGCGCTGCAGCCGAGGCCAGCCTGCCTTTGTCCTCAGCCCCCTGCTTTGCGTTCGCAGAAGTGCGGCTTGAGATGTCTGCTAGCTGTGTGTTCTTAGCGAGGCAGATCTGAGGATCCTGTTGAAGGTTCTGGCTAAAATGAATGTATCCCCTAGGCGCTGCTGGAACAAAGCATCGCTACTAAGGCCAGGAGGAGGGGGACTCCAGGAATAGGAATGTCACTGGGAAGAACTACCCCCTCCAGCCTCTGACTGAGACCCAGCAGAGCTTCTGGAAAGAAGCAGAAGAAAGCCAGTAAAGGAGCGTATCACCCAGAGGGAACAAGGCTTGAGTGATTTCACCGCATTCAGCTGTGAGTTACTGCGGGAAAGAAAAGGGAGCTGGGGCTGAATGGTGGCAAGGGACGGACTGCGTGGGAAGTGTCACCAGATTGTCGGGATGCTGGAGGGGTTCCACAGCTGGGAAGCTTTCATCTTTAACCTCCACTCTCAAGTGGCGTCCTCTCTTCCCTTCATTCTCCACTAATTATTACCAGAGGCTGGACAGCTTGCTCACCATGTCCATCACCATGTGTGGCATCTGGAGTTGTGCTTTTCTGTCGTTCTTGATCTTATAGAGACAAGAGTAGTCGTTCTGGGAGGGTTTGCCAGAGTTATGTATTTTTGTCTCATTTGACAGAAGGGAAGAAGAATCTGGAAGGGGAGGTGACTTGCCAAGGACCAGTAAGAGTCCTTGGGAGTCCTGGCTTGGTGCTGTCCACACGATCACACAGAAACAAGTTTCCTCTTAAAAGATCCTTTTGAGAAACAGTAAATTAGAAAAAACAGTTAAAAAAAAAACCCGTGTTTAAGGCACCTACCCCTTTTTTCAAAGCTTTATGAGGATTCTTGGACTCAAGGGGTTAAAGTCTTGATAGTAAAACAGAGACACAAGATAATCTTTGGGGGGTTTCTTCTTGCTGCATCAGTTTTAATGAAGACATTGTATTTCATGTTTTTGAGATGCTGCCATTTGCTTAATAATTATTTTAAAAGTTTCTATGTTACTGAGAGGGAGACAAATAGTTGAAGCGTTGGGGAAGATTGCAAATGTGAATCACAAAGGGGTAGATGTAACCTTCCTCTTTCTCCAGGATTAAAGGTGATCCGGCTGGTGTGTGGGTGGTTTTAGAAGGAGAGTCCAGGAGCTCCCGGTATCCTGGGCTTCTTTCCTGCGCTTCTAGGTATGCCTTCCCAGGTTTTGACACTCTTCCAAGAACAGCAGAAAATGAGCAAATCCCAGGTGAGTTATTTCTTTACTCCCTATTTCATTTTCTAGTGGATTTCATGGCTTTGAAGTGTGTTCATATATTAAGAAGGAAAAGTGGAAATAGATAAAAAGCTACTTGTGGGTAAATGAAGAGTGAGTGGGTGGCATCTGACTAGCCGGCAGAGGTGGCGTCGTCTGTGTCAGTCATTTCGTCCTGCAGTCATCAAAGGCGAGTGGCACACCTGTCTTTCATCTTCCTTATCGATGAAGGATTTTCATCATCTTTTCCTGGGACAGAAAGACTTCCTGGCACTGGGGCCTGGGAAGGATGTCTTTGAAGGCCTCCAGATAGGAGAGAATCTTGTAGTCACCTTCCTGTAGCCTGTAATTACTCTTCACTGGAAGGGGAGGGCAGAGCTCAGTGAGGTTTAGGAGGGGACCAAAGCATTGTGGACTCCGTGGAAAACTTTCTGAGCATCCACTTCGATCTAGGGACTTGGACTGTCTGGAGGAATGAAAGAAAAAGACTGCATGTCCTTAAAATCACTCCAGAAACTGTACAAGTTGGATGGCAGGTAGTTCAGACTCAAAGTCTTTGGCAAAAGTTTATTTCTTATCCATTCACATTTTTTTTAATTGTGGTAAAATTTATATAACAAATTTGCCATTTTAATCATTTTTAAGTGTGCAGTTCAGTGGCATCAATTACACTCAGAATGTTGTACAACCATCATCACTGTTTCCAGAACGTTTTTGTCACCCCAGACAAACACTCTAACATGTAACCAACAACTCCCTCTCTCTCCCCAGCCCCTGGTCACCTTTGATCTACTTTCTGTCTCTCTGAATTTCCCTATTCTAGATATTTTATGTAAGTGGAATCAGACACTCTTTGCCCTTTTGTATCTGACTCTTTTCACTTAATGTAATGCTTTCAAGGTCCATCCACGTTGTGGCGTGTATCAGAGCATTATTCCTTTTAATGGCTGAGTAATATTCCATTGTAAAAGCATACCTCATTTTACAGTGCTTCACAGACATTGGGGTTTTTAGAAACTGGAGGTTTGTGATCCCTTGTGTTGTCAGATGTTGGTTAGCATTTTTTAGTGATAAAACATTTTTAAATTAAGGTGTGTGCCTTGTTATTTTAGACATAGTCCTGTTGTACATGTGACAGACTGCAGTATAACATAAATAATTTCTGCATGCACTGGGAAACCAAAACACTTGTGTGACTCACCTTACTGAAATACTTGCTTTATTTTGGTGGTCTGGAGCTGAACCTGCAGTATCTCCCAGCTGATTATCCACCACTTGTTAATGGATGCTTGGAATTATTTCCACCTTTTGGCTTTTCACCAATAGTGCTACTCTGAGCATTCAGGTACAGGTATCTGTGTCTCCATCCATTCCTATGTTTGCAGTCCCCCTTCTTCCCCACCACCTGCCTCACTCTGTCCTGATAAAGCTCAGGGGCTACGTCCTTGCCGTAGAACCCAGTGGCCGTGTTCCAGACCTTCGCTTATTAGCATATTCTGCCTCCTGTGGCAGTTAACCTCTTCCACCTTCTGGAAAGCCTTCTCTGGTGTTCTGTGACGTCATTTTTCTGGCTTTATTGGGCTCCATTCTGGTTTGTTTGTCTCCCTCGTGGCATCTTCCTCCTCTTCTGCCGAGTCTCTCGGCTAATCCTCAGCTCCTTGTCCCTCAGCCCCCTTGGCTCTGCTGGAGCTTCCTGAGGCTCCCTGCCCTCCGTGGTGGTGACACTTTGTAGCCTGGGCTCTTCCCTCATGTCTCACCCTTCTCCATGCACATGGCCAGAGGCACCTCGTTTTCAACTGTTTAAAAATTTAAATGATCACTTCCAGCTTCCCCTGTTTCTCATCGGATGACAGAGCACACCAGGTGGTGAGTGACGCCACCTCTGTGGGGTTCATCCCCTCCCCGCATCCTGTGTGGCATCTGGGCTTTACTCCCTCTAAGGTGTCCTGATGTCTTAAACCCGTCTTTTCTGCTTAATCCGTCTCCCCATGTCAGAGCTCCGTCTTCTCTCCCTGCGCTGTTGGAGTAGTTTTCTGCTGCCTTCTCCCTGCAGTTGCCTGTCCTGAGTTAATTATACCTGAAATGCTGCTCCAGTGATGCCGCCTCAGCCTGGAAACCACCGAGGGCTTCCAGCCCTCCAGAGGGCAACGCTGAGCCCCTCGTGGTGAAGTTAAGGCTGTTGAGAACAAAGCACTTCATTTCTGCTTGTTTTATTAAAATATTTTTAAAAATTATTTACATTTCACTCAACATGGGTTTATTAGGCATTTGTTCAGCGTCTGAGGGGCTGAACTGTGTGCCACAGACTCTGCTCAAAACAGTGGAGAGGCCTGGTCTTCGAGGACGATGTTGAAAAGGAGTGGGCAGAGGGGACATCCTTGCCTTGTTCCTCGTGCTAGTGGGGAGCGGCTGGTTTCTCACCAGTAAGTATGATGTTAGCTGTAGGTTTTTGTAGATACTTTTTATCAAGCTGAGGGAGTTCGTCTTTATTCCTAAGCTTACTGAGAGTTTTTATCATTTGTCAAATGCTTTTTATGCGTCTATTGATATGATCACGTGCCCTTTCTTTAGCCTGCTGAAGTGATAGATTACATTAATTGATTCTTGAATGTTGAACCAGCTTTGAATCTGAAAGAAATCCCACTTGGTTGTGGGGTATAATTCTTTTTACACATTGTTGGATTTGATCTGCTAATATTTTGTTGAGGATTTTTGCATCTGTGTTCATGAGAGACATTGGTCTGTGGTTTTCTTATCTTGTAATGTCTTTGTCTTGTTTGGTATTAGGGTAATGGTGAGCTCATAGGAGGAGACAGAAACAGTCTCCTGCATTTCTATCTTCTGAAAGAGATTGTAGAGAATTAGTGTAATTTCTTCCTTAATGTTTGGTAGAATTTATCAGTGAACCCATCTAAGATTGCTTCTTTCTGTTTTGGATGATTATTAATTATTGACTCAATTTTAAAATCTAGATTTATTTAGATTGTGTATTTGTTCTTGTGCGAGTTTGGCAGATGTGTCTTTGAACAAACTGGTCCACTTCATCTGGGTTATCAGACTTGTGGGCAGAGAGTTATTCATTATATTCTTTTATTCTTTTAATGTCAATGGGATCTGTAGCTACATCCCCACCTTCATTTCTGTTATTAGTAATCTGTGTTCTCTCTCTTTTTTTTCTTAGTCTAGCTAGACATTTATCAATTTTATTGATCTTTTCAAAGAATCAGCTCTTATTTCATTGATTTTCTCAGAATAAACATGTTAAGTACTATTTCCCACATCTCTCTCTTTCATGTCACCCAATACCGAACTCTCTGGCTTGAGCAGAAACGTGCTGGCCAGGAGTCCGTGTCATTCAAGGACGTGACTGTAACCTTCACCCGGGACGAGTGGCTGCAACTGACGGGCACGCAGAGGACCCTGTACCGGGATGTGATGCTGGAGAACTACAGCCACCTGGTGTCCGTGGGTGAGCGGCCTTCCTGGTAGCGCCCCCCAGCTGGCGTTTCCTCTCTCAGCCTCCAAAGCTCAGGAGCCCTTGGTGGAGTTTCATGACATTTGTGTACAGCTCATGGGTCAAATAGGATTGCTTCCACTGGGCATGGAAAGAATGTTTTCGTTCTCACCTCCCTACAGAAAGGTTCACATGGGCACCTTTATCACGTGACCCCTGAACCTACACCTTCCTTGCCCTTCAGGGGCCTGATGTCCAAGCAGCTTGTCAGAAGTCTTATCCCATGTCTCACGCACAGGGTGCTGCATCACCAAACCAGAGGTGATCTTCAAGCTGGAGCAAGGGGAAGAGCCGTGGCCACGAGAGGGAGAGCTGCCTGGCTGGAGGGACCCAGGTGAGTTAGGTGGTATCAGGGAGAAAAAGAAGCCAGTGGAAATCAGGTCCCAGGTTGGTTGCTTCAGAAGTTGAGACCTTTGGTCTGTGTCTCAGAACCCTGTTTAGGGGCCTCGGAGCTTTGGGAGTAAGTGAGCAGTGAGCCAGCCTCAGGTCGCCTGACCCACACGTCCATCCGCTGCTCTCAGCACCAGCGCTCCCCTTTCCTGCCTGCCTTTTAGGGGTTGGCCATTCTCGAGCCCAGCGCTGAAGCCTGCCTGCCCCATCGCAGACCTTTGTTCTTGCTTCCTCCTCCTCCAGTACTCATTTTCCCTCCATTTCCCGGGCTGCTTCCTTTTCACTGCCCCCCAGGCGTGCGTGCCTGCGTGTCTTCTGCAGGTACTCCTAGTCCGCGCTCCGAGTCGGGGACTTGCTGGTGAACACACTCTGTCCCTGAGCTCCTAGAGCCCCTGGCTGGCGCGGGGTGGGGTAGACATACATAAAGAAACCCACGTGTCCGGTGGTGGCAAGAGTGGCGGGAAGAAGTGAAGCCGGCTGGCGGGAGCTAGAGAGCAGGGCGCGCTCTTTTACAAGGTGGTGAGAGAATGCCTTTCTGATGGAGTCGGTAAGGAAGTGAGTCCTGCGGATTCCAGGGGCTCCAGGCAGAGGAGCAGCCAGAAGGGACAGCCACAGGGCCGAGCTCCTGCCGCATGAGTTTGGCGGAAGTGCCCTGAGAAAGACAGGGAGGCCAGTGTGGTGGCAGGAGCACCTGAGACAGATGCTGGCAGGAGGTGACATCAGAGGTCGCCAGGGGCCAGATGATGTCTTACAGGACTTGGGAAGGGCTTTGATTTTATTTTGGGTGAGATGGGTAGCTATTAATGGATTTCTGCAAAAGAATATGTTTTAAAAGAATTTCTTTCATACTATGGAGAGAAAATTGGGGCTGGGGCAAGGGTGGTGAACACAAGTGAAAACAGAGACAGTGTGACATGCTGGCCCCTGAAATACCCACAGCCACCACTGATAAGGCGAATCTGAATTGACTGCTCAGCCTGACAGTCTTGGTAGCATCTTGGAGGAGAGTAAACAAAGGCCGGTTATTTATGAGATTTGAGGGTATGCCTTAAGGTATACTTTTTTAATGCAGTGCTTGATAACCACTGGGTAAGAATCAAAATTTAATAGTTTAGGACTTGTGGACACAGCAAGGATTGAATAGTCCTAGAGAACGACCAGTTCACTATCTATTGGAAAGGTGAGAAGTTGTTTAGAAGAGTTTTGAGGAAGTTTCCGAAATGAAGAGTGAAATCATTTGCAACTTTTATCTTCCTGGGCATGAGCTTCCTGGAGGAGTAACATCTGCTGATGAAGACAGAACAGTGGTTGTGGTGATGCAGAGTAAGCTGGGCATTGACAGTCTCACCTCTCGATGGTGAGGCAGTGTCTGCAGTGGCTCAGTGTGACATGATGGTGGTAGAGGTGACAACACGGTGCAGCTTCGTATTGTGAGAGTGGGCTGTGCTGCTGGGCTGGAGAGAAGCAGGGAGGCAAGGGGGGCCTTAGTGACGGGACGGCAGGTGTTTACTGAGATGGGGGGATGGTTCAGGGCAAGTTTTTAAGCAGTTACTTTGAGAAGTGTCAGTGATTTGAGGTGATTATTAATGATTCCAGTTTAGATATTGACGAGGCACTTTGATGTATAGATCTGGAGTTGGAGAACAGGCAGGAGTGCAGGTTAATTCAGAAGTCAGGTTGGAAGGTGGTGTGCGGTCATGACAGAGCCTTGCGGGGTGGATGTGGACAGACAGGAAAAGAGGCGGAAGCCGAGGGCCTCACCACACAGAGAAGTCACATGCTTAAGAGAAGGAAACCGAGAGAGTATACCTGGAGGCCAAGAAAGGCACTCTTCAAGAAGGAAAGAACAAATTTCTGATTTGAAAATGGAAATATGAAGTCAGCATTTCCCCTTTTTCTTCTTGTACACCATCTAAAGCCACCAGGAGATGAGAAACCAGTTGCAGTCTCTTATTTTCTACAAATCTGAGAAATAGCTAAACTCGAAACCAGGGTGTGAAGTGGAGAAACCGTTGAAAGCAGTGAAAACTCAAGCTGTGTACCTGCGCCTGGAACCTTAAGGGGCTCTCCAGGAAGGAGGCGGAGGTGACTGACCCTTGGTAAAGCACCAGAGGGGGCTGCAGAGCACCGTGGCAGGAACTTCTCTGCCACCTGCTTCGGTTCTGAGAAGCGGAGGCGCGGGACTCAGGGTGGAATCACACACACATGGCCTTAGCTGCAGTTTGGGGGTAAAAGAGACTGCACGTGAAAACACCCAGAGGTTTTCTGGGAGAAATGAGAGATAATCAGATCCAATGTTAAGTCCTTGGTCCTAAGCAGCCAGTGAAGGATGCATGGAAGTTTTCATAAGAAAAAAGACAAAGAGAAAAAAGAAAAGGCCAAAAAAATTAGTTAAGTCAAGAACACTCACCTGAAACATATTGTCATAGAGAAATATTGTGACCAAGCATTTCACTATGAATAATTTATAACTTAGTGAAGCAACTGCGTTTACTATGCAGAAGCACAGGACTGTGTGTCAGCACCGAGGAGAGAGATGGGGAGACCACAGGGCATTATCTGAAGGCTTCCCGTTCTCTGGAACGAACCGGAAGGAAAACCATCCCAACAATGAGATGTATGAATTTGGAAGGAGCACAGGAGCTGAAAACAGTGAAGCACCTGGAAGAGAAGCACAGGGAGTGATGAGAAGGAGCTGGAGACCAGGGCAAAAGTAAGTGGCACGTGTGGCCGACTGAAAAGGGAGATTGAGCGCACACACAATTCAGCCCCAGGGTACAAAGCCGAGAATAATTGAATAGAACAAGTATTTAAAGATGTATTTCAAGTAAAACGTGCTGGTCTGAAAGAAGACTGGAGTCTACATGAAAAGGGCAGAGTAACTACGGGGAAACTCACTCAGAATTGTCACCAGCAGGATACAGCCTGGGGACGTTAATAGATTTTTGAAGAAAAAAGATTCTTTTTGGTCTGCCAAAGCAAAGAATTAAGTCATTTTTAAAAACTTTGTTGAGGAATAATTGACAGATACAATTGTATATATTTAAAGGGTACAATGTGATGATTTGACGTACACATACATTGTAGAATGATTATCAAGATTAAGGTAATTAACACATCCATCACCTTACATAGTAACGTAGGTAACTTGTGTGTGTGGTGAGAATGATTTAAGATCTACTCTCAGCTTTCGGGGTATAATACCATGCTGTGCACTAGATCCTCAGAACTTGAATTAAGTCATTTTTAAGAGGGAAGTAAAAATTAAGCTGATCTCAGACATCCATGGTAGCATTCAGTGCTTTTAAAAGCAGTGGAGAAGGAATTACAAAATCCTTAAGGACTAAAAGTAAATCCCAAGAATTTATATGTAGACAATATTTTACTCAGTTAAAGTAACAACAAGAAATTAAGTTTGAATATACCAGAATGCATGAATTCTTCTTAAAGAATCTACTAGAAAATGAACTGGAACCAAGAAATGGTAAAATGTAATACAGTAAAAGATAGTTTTTGAGTACTGACTTAAATATTAAGTCTAAAACTAAAGTGGGAATTGAACAGAATAGGATTAAAAACCAAAGGATGTCACATTTTAGGATTATTAGATATAAAATTTAAAATTTGTGTGGAGGAGCAAAGTCCCCAAATAACCAAAGCATTTCAGAAGGCTAGGAAAAACTAGGCTGGTGAGCTTGCCCGCTCAAATCCAGTGCTAGTCATATGGCTGTCGTGTGATTCTGGTGTAAAAATACATGGAACAGAAGTAAGATCTCAGAACCAGCTCCATACTGGTGGAGGTCAGTTATGTGAGAGGACAGGCAAAGGGGAGATTATTCAGTAAGTGCTGTTGAGAAAATTATCCATATGGGGGGAAATATTTATGTCATGGAAATATTTATGTCATTGATCTTTATACAAAAATCAGTTTAAAATATATAAGATCTCAGGAAGAAAATATAGTGGGATGTGTTTGTAACTATATAAAAATAGGGGACTTGATGTTTGATATTATGTATTATCATATATTTACAGTCCTTAGGAAAGGGTTTCCCAAATAGCATACGAATACTGTTTATAGAAGAAAAACAGATTAATTATGCTAAGAACACTCACTCATTACAAAACACCATAAAAATTCAAAAGACGTGGCACAGAGTGAGAGAAATTACTTGTAACACATATAACCAGCAAAGGCTTAATATCTAAAATACATTCGTGGCTTTTCTCAAACAGAAGCTGAAATAAGGCATTGTACATTATCCATTTTACTTAATTTCTGCTTCCTCACACTAGAATGTCAACTTCATGAGAACAGTTTTTTTTTCTTTCATGTCTGTGTTTCTACTGTTTAGGAGACTGCCAGCCACAATGTAGCATTCAGTAAAAGTTTGTTGAATGATGAACTCCTACAATTCATAAGAAAAAGTCACCCAACAGAGAAATGGATAAAAGACATACATGAAAAGGAGACACAAATGGGAAACAAGCGCAGGTGATAAATGGGAGTATCTACAACTTCACTGGTAATCAGAGAAATAAAAAGTATGACAGTGAAATAGCATTTTGGATCCTCAAACTTGGCAAAACTTAAGACATTTTACAACAGCAGGCAGTTCTGATCACACAGTCACTCTTTGTCTGGGAGGAGTCTGTGTCAAGAGCTGGGTCTTACAGTGTCCCTTCCCTGTAATCCTCCCCGGTACCTCATCTGCTCCTAAGAGTTAAACTTTTCACTTCACCCAGTAATTGAAAAATTCCCACCTCCTCTCTCAGCCTCATCCACTCTCTGCTCTCCATTTTACCTGAGGTTTTCCAGTCCTTTCACTGTCAGTGTGGCAGAAACTAACCCTAAAATCATTTCTTCCAAATTGTAGATCTTCTCACATTCCTTGTTTCGCCTTACTTAGGTTCTGACACTTTTCTTCTCCTGTATCTGACAACCATGAAGAACACCTGCAGTACTGATCTCTGCATAGTTCCTCTTATGTTTTATTTTCCTTTGAAAACTGTCCTCTGTAGCTTTTATTCGTACCTTCCAGTGACCTCACTCAAAACCAGAGCCTTATTCTCTGATGCCTTATTTCATTCCTCATTGTAAGTATATGTGTTTAAACCTTGTTAGCCTTATGTGAGCCTCGGGTTCCCCCCTATTACTTAAGCACCTCTTCTTAAAACAAGCATATCAGTCCATGTTCATCTCTCCTTTTGGTTGCTGTTGCTCAGAAACTCGTAAGTTCCATTTGATCCCACCTCATGAACTGCTCATACATCCCATGCACCTCTTCCCAAGGTTTGCCTGTCCAGAGCCTTAAGAAAGGGCTTCGGACTGTGCCTGCCACGCAGTTCATGCTCGTGGAGCTTATTTTACACATCTTTAACGTTTGAGCTAAAGTTCTCGCCTTTGTTTTGAAGTGCTGCTTAATTGCTCTAGCCGACATTGATCTGTTCCCTCTTAGAGTTCCTGTTTCACTTAGCAGCTAAGCCACAAGGAACTCAGAGGATTCTTTTTAGTATTATTTTTAATGGAGGTTCTGGGGATTGAACCCAGGAGGTCGTGCATGCTAAGCGCACGCTGTACCCCTGAGCTCCCCTGGAACTCAGACTTCATCATGTATTGTGACACCTGACAGCATCTCGTTATCATCTGAGGCTTTTGCCCCACCCTTTTTTTTAACTCTTCCTTAATTTGACATGTAGTATATAATAGATCAGCTCATCTATTAATACTGATAGACACGTTTATTCAGAAAGCATTTCCTAAGTACAAAGGCCTACATCACTTACCTGTAGATTCCGATTCATAGGGTAGATAGGTTGACTTGGGGCCATGAATGTCTGTACTCTCTGTTTTGAATAAAAATGACCAGGTAACTCTGATGCATAATGCTTTTTGAGGGTCACCAACTATACATCTACCCAGAGGGATCAGAGGTGACAGGAGAGACATTAAAACCTGCTGAGAGCATGTGTTGTGGTTGCTAGAGGTAAACAGGATTCTGTGATATAGTTTGAAGTTCAGTGTTATCAAGTGCTATTTGGATTAAGTTAGTCCTTTCCATGGTGTGTTAATGAAAAGTGTAAGTAGTGACTATTTCCGTGTTGGAGAAAATGGAGTTTAAGAGGCATGATTTGAATAATGTATGTGAGGCAGGGGGAGAGAGAAAAGATGAGAGAGGAGGGAGGTACATTTCCTGGAGGACATCTGAGTTCCTAGTAGAACCACAGCTGAAAAGCAGACTGCCAAGTGGACGGATCTGTCAGACTTGTGGCTTGTGATTGGGAATAAAGATTTTAAAAAGTGTTTGTTGTGTATTTTTGAAGGATATCTTGAATAACTAATAAAAAACCTTATTTTGTCCACTGGCATGTAGGCAGTGGGCTGTGCCTGTGTATGTACAGATGCCCTGTGTTTCCCACACCTAAGCCTTCCTCTGCTATTTCTCCTGAAGGTCCGTGTATAATAATATCCCTCACTGTGCTTCCCATTCATGGTTTTTGTTGGACAAAAACCCAATTATCTGAGAGTTTCTGTATCATCCTTTCTCCTCAGTTCACTGTTCCTTGTGTTTAGTTTCTTCTTTTCATTTTAATTATGAATGTCTTATTTTTAAAACAGCAAATACATGTGTGTTCATTGTAGTCTTACTCTCCCTTTTCTATTTTTCTTTTTTCTGGCATAAGGAGAAATACATGCTTGGTATTTTATCCTAGAAGCTTGGGACTGAAAAATGAACTGACATAATAAATTATATTTACATAGGAAATGTGTTAACATTTTAAAAATACATTTAATTTTTCTTATTTATGACCTTACAGACAGAAGCCAGGAAAACCAAGATAAACATTTGTGGCGAGTTTCACTCATTGACAAAAATACACAGACTAAGAAGAGAGATAATGTTTTCAGAAAAACACCCTGTCAGTATGACTTATGTGGAATGAGTTTGAATAATGTTTTGGAATCAATTATTAGTGATAAAAATCCTTCAAGTAAGAACTCTGATGAAATTAATACATGTGGGAAGTTGCTCCTTGGTAATAATCGAGAAACTACTCATACTGGAAAGAAATCTGATGAACATAACCAAGATGGGAAATCCCAAGGTCATAATGAGGACCCTGTTGAGCAACAGAAAAGTCACCTTTTGGGACCACCTTCTGAAGGTAATGATGGTGGAGCAGCCATCCTTAGTGAGGCACCCATCACGACAGCTCGGAGGGCCCAAGCAGAAGAGAAATCCCGGGATTATAAGGAGCAGGGGGCAAACAGCAGTGACAGGTCAACCCTCGAAGTCCAGCAAGAATCTCACACAGGGAAGGCTCACTCTGCAGTGAACGGGTGCGAGAAGCCAACCCTCGATGAACATCAGGAAGTTAATGTGGAGGAGAAAACCCGTGAATGGAATGAAACTGAGAATAATCTCAGGAAGAAGTCCCATCTCATTCAACCTCATAAAACTCAAACAGGAGAGAGAACATTTGGATGTAGTCATTGCAAGAAATCTTTTTATCAAGAGTCCCACCTCATTCAACATCAGAAGACACACACGAGAGAGGAACTGTGTGAAAGTAATAAAAGTGGAAGAGCCTTTCAGAAATCAGAACCCACTGCCCCTCAAAGAACTCACACAGGAGAGGAGCCCAGTGAATGCCGTGAAGCCCCTGGGTGGTCAGCCATTGCTGACCAGCAGAGAACACAGCCGGGAAAGAAGCTTTATGTATGCAGTGAGTGCAAGAAGTCTTTTCGTCACAGCTCAGCCCTGAAAGTCCATCAGAGAATTCACACAGGAGAGAAGCCCTATCAGTGTAAGGATTGCGGGAAGTCCTTCTACGCAAAGTCAAACTTCAACCATCATCAGAGGACTCACACGGGGGAGAAGCCATATGAATGTAAGGATTGTGGGAAATCCTTCTGTGTGAAATCAAACCTCACTAAACATCAGAAAACGCACACAGGGGAGAAACCTTTCAAATGCAATGAGTGTGGGAAAACATTCTTACAGAAATCACAGTTTGCCGATCATCAGAGAACACACACAGGGGAGAAACCCTACAAATGTAATGAATGTGGAAAATCCTTCTACTATAAGTCAGCCTTACACGTACATCAGGGGAAGCATACAGAAGAGAAACCCTATAAATGTACAGAGTGTGGGAAATCCTTCTGCTATAAGTCAGCCCTGATTATACATCAAGTATCTCACACAGGGAAGAAACCCTATGACTGTAATGAATGTGGAAAAACCTTCTGCGTGAAGTCAAATCTCACTAAACATCAGAAAATCCACACAGGTTTGAAACCCTATGAGTGTAATGAGTGTGGCAAATCTTTCTCCATGAATTCGATCCTCACTGTACATCAGAGAACTCACACGGGGGAGAAACCCTATGGATGCAATGAATGTGAGAAATCCTTCTACAAAAAGTCAGCCCTCACTAAACATCAGAAAACTCACACAGGGGAGAAACCACATGAATGCAACGAATGTGGGAAAGCCTTCCATATGAAATCAACCCTCATTATACACCAGAGAACCCACACTGGAGAGAAACCCTTTAAATGTAATGAATGTGAAAAGGCATTCTACGTGAAGTCGCTTCTTAACATTCACCAGAGGAACCACACAGGAAAGAAACCCCACGTCTGCAAAGAATGCGGGAAAGCCTTTTCCATGAAGTCAAACCTCGCTGACCATCAGAGAACACATTCGGAGGAGAAACCCTATGAGTGTAATGAATGTCAGAAGACCTTTCGCCACAAGTCAACCTTAACTGTACACCAGAGAACTCACACAGGGGAGAAACCCTACAAATGCAGTGACTGTGGGAAAGCCTTCTCTATGAAGTCAGCCCTCAGTCAGCACCACAGAATACACACCGGGGAGAAACCTTACGAATGCAAAGAATGTGGGAAAACTTTCTTCCAGAAGTCACACCTCACTAAACACCAGCGAACACACACAGGGGAGAAGCCTTACGAGTGTAAGGAATGTGGGAAAACCTTCTTCCAGAAGTCACACCTCATTGAACATCAGAGAACCCACACTGGGGAGAAGCCCCATGAGTGTAATAAATGTGGAAAGTCTTTCTGTTACAAGTCAGCGCTAACTATACATCAGAGGACTCACATAGAAGAGAAACCCTACAAGTGCGACGAATGTGAGAAATCTTTCTGTATGAAATCGCACCTCACTGTACATCAGAGGACTCACACAGGGAAGCACCCTTTTGAATGTAATGAATGTGGGAAGACTTTTTATGTGAAGTCAAACCTCGTTAATCATCAGAGAACTCACACAGGGGAGAAGCCCTATGAATGTAGGAGATGTGGGAAGTCCTTCTGCATGAAGTCGACCCTCACGGTCCACCAGCGCACACACACGGGGGAGAAGCCCTACGAGTGTGACGCGTGTGGGAAGTCCTTCTGCAAGAAGTCGACTCTCACAAAACATCAGGCGATTCACACACGAGAGATACCGTAAGAGGCAGAGAAATGTGGGAAGTCCTCCTCTGTGAAGTCATGTTTTGTCCCACCTTCGAGAACTCACGGGAGGAGCCTTATGAATGTAATAACATGGAGACTCTCTTCTGTGTGGATTCAGTCTTTCATTGGCAGCAGGAGGCACATGGGTGGGGTTGGAGGGTGTTCCATGAATGAAGTGAATACTGGGGACTGCTGTGTCATGCCTTACTAAATGTCAGACTGCGTCAGGAGAGAGGGCTCCGGGGACACTTTTAGTATCCACCTCCGAAACAACTGTATGCTTCAGAGAAGCCATGGGAAAAACACAAAGAAAGCAACAAAAGTATTAAAGTGTTTACAAAGTCGCAACTGACTGAGTATCAGGTAATTGATAGTGGACTGAAAGTATATAAACGTTTTATTTACAAAAGCTTTCAAGAAAAAAACTTACTATATAAGAAAAGAATTAGTACTGAGGGGAAATCTATCAATTTAGGAAATACAGATTCATTTTTTTCCCTCCAGAAATAATGTAATACTGGAAGTGATCCCAGGGTACCGACTTTTGAAAATGTGAAATAAGATGTATCTGATGCCACTGATGCTCACTGGCGGCATGTGGACACAGGCCGTAGCAGCAGACTGCCTGCCTTAGGCGCTTGACGTGCACCTGAGGTAAGAAGGCTTCGGTCCATCGGTAAGCGAGGTGCCGAGGTGGAGTGTGTTTGATTTCCACGGCGGATGTCAAGATAGTTGTTGGCAGGAAATGCCTCCCCATAGCTTAGTAACTATCATGAGGGTTCTCTCACTGAATGCCACCAGGGTTTCTTTGTACTTTGACAGTGCAGTATACGTTATAAGTGACATATTTGACAAATCGGAAGCACTGTGCCAAAACATACTGTTTGTTTTTTTTTAGTAAAAGTAGATTTATTTAGAGAGATGGACATGGGAGAGGGGGGTGGCTGGTTAAAGTAAAGGTAGATGCATGCTCCCTAGGTAAGAGCGAGGCCACCCTGGAAGGCAAGTGACCTACCATGACATATTATTAAGTGGGAAAATCAGAGTACAGAGAATTGTATACAGCCTGCTGCTTTTTGCGTAAGAATTCAGAGGAACCACATATACATACTGTTGCTTATTTCTGCAAAGAGAAACACTGGAAGGATAAACCCCCAGCTATTAAAAATGAGAAGCTGGGCGGCAGCGGCAAGCAGGAGGCAGTGGGAGGAGTGGAAGCAAGGTTTCTCTGATTTTACCTTTTGACGAAATTTTGACTTTTGAACAAATGTAAATGATTTACACATTCAAAAGTGAGCAAAAGCAGATTCTGAAATTGAAAACAAAGAGACAAATCAGCTTGATATCAAATTGGCAACCTAACCACACACAAAATAATTCTTTGAAGAAACTTCTGCACGTTGTATCGTGACTATACGTCCTTAACACGTTGATCGCCACGTCACCTGACTCTGGGTGACAGTCGTGCTTCCTCGGGGGCACCCAATCCACAATGGGTGATCAGCGTGTTAATGGGATGTGTTTAAGGACAAAAAGGCCTGCAAAAAATTGTAAAATTACCACCAGCCTTCATGTTAATATTAGTGTTTGAATCTGTTTTGTGTATATTGTAGGATAAAGCAAAAAAAAAGTTACTAGGAACCAAAATTTCCAGTTTAAGAGAAGAGATGACCATAAAAACTAAATAATTTAGGTAAAACAGCCTAAATGGAGGGGGAAGGGTACAGCTCAGTGGTAGAGTGTGTGCTTAGCATGCACCAGGTCCTGGGTTCAATCCCCAGTACCTTCATTAAAAAATTTAAAAAAAATTGTCTAAATGATAAATACAAATTGAAAATATCACACATTATTTTTTTAAATTATGTTATTTCATAGCTGTGTCCACTGAGTGGCACCCCCACAGTGATGAGCAAATTCTGTCCCCAGCATTGCCCACTACACAGAACTAGGACCTTGGAGAAATAGTTGAGTGTAGGTCTGGCCCTTAAATGTCCAAGGTGAGCCTCTTGGTCAGAAACGGAGGAGGCACTCAGAGATTAGTGGGGACATGGCAAAGGTCACAGAAGCTGGCTTCTGGTCAGATGTGAGGTAATTTGATTGCCAAACAGAATGACCAACTGACAGTAACATTCAAATAACCAAAAATCTGACTCCACAGCAATACACACAAAACAGAGAAAGGAGCTAAGTTCATTTCCACCCCTGGAGGTGAATCTTAAACTGCTTACTCTGTGATTAGAGGGAAAGAACTAGGCTTCCAGCCTGTCCTTTTAGTAGGAGCAGTTTTTCATCCTGTTCTAGGAAGGCTTTCGTTATAGAAAAATATCAGCTAATAGATGTAGAAGGAATGACAGAATTGGAAAATCGCTAATTTGCAACCTCTAGTGCATCTAGATGGATGTTCAGAGAATTAGAGGCAAAGGAAGCAGTGTGTCTGTGCGGTGCCAGCGTGTCACCCACAGGCGCCCTACACACTGAAACTGGAGAAAGGGTACCTTCACAGTGGAATGACTGACTGCCTCACGTTAACCAAGTGACCGAATGTAGCATTACTAACAGCAGTGACATTGTATCTTTTGAGATAAAATATGAAATGCTTACATTACACTGTTGTGTATTCTTACCAAAATATTTCATATGAATCTAATCAACTGTATATTAGTCTTTTAGTTTATAGTAAGCACAGGAAATAGAGGAACAGCTTCAGGGAAGGGGACAATCAGACAAATCTAGAATGTGGGGCCTTTATCGAGACAACTGGCCTGGTCTCTTCAAAAGTCAGGATTTTAAAAGGAGAAAAGCAGGGAAAGACAGCTTTTTGATTCAGAGAGACATAATCAAATGCAGTGTCTGAACCTTGATTGGACCCAAAAGTCATCTGGTTCAAGAGGACATCGACATAGATATTTTAGAGGCAGCTGGAGGAAACTGAATGTGGGATGGGTATTAGGTGGTATTAGGAAATTAGAGTTAATTTTTTAAACTGGTATCAATGTGGTTCTGAACATTAGTGTGTGTGTGTGCGTGTGTGCGTGCACATATGTGTAGGACACGCATGCTGACCACGGAGAGGTGAGCTATCAGGATGTCTGCAGCGCTGATATGATCCAGGGAGAAATGCATCCACGAGTAGACGAAGCAAACTTAGCAAAATTATAGCAAGTGTTGAACTCAGTGGTAGGCACGTTGGTATTCACTGTATTTTCCTTAAAAGAGCTCTGAAAATTTTTGTAAAAGCTTTTGGGCAAGTATCACATCATGTATCTGTTCTCTTACTGTTTTCTGGTATACGTATTTAAATAAAGGTGTCCAGGGTTACTGATCTGCTCTTCAATAAAGCCAACAATGCCTTTTTTTTTAAAACTGTTTGTCTTGGGTTTAACTGTTTTAATGAAAACATTTGTGAAATACTCAAAGGTAGGTACAGCACTGTTACCAACACAAGCTTGTGTTCAGCAATAGCTGTAAACAGTAGTGCTTAGCACAGGAAAGTTGTACTGTGTATACAAAGTACCCGTCCGTCTCCTACTCCTGATGAGGATGGGGGGGGCCTGCAGAGGGACAGGGCACACGGCCCAGGTGCTGGGAACCCAGGAGCCATGTGCCTAACAGGGCGGCAGGCACTGGGCCCTGGTGCTTGCTTCCTTTTTTTGCCCTGTGTCCTTACAGCAGGTGGCAGGCTGCTCTCCACTTCCTCCTTGTGGTCTGTTTCTCCTCCCCTCACCAGGGATTATTTCATTTTGGGCATATGACCAAGCAATGGCCCACAGGATATTTAGGGAAGCATTCTGGGTGACTTGGGGGAAAAGGTTTTGTCATTGTTAAGTCCAGAGCAGAATGGCACTGCCTGGTTACAACCCATTGGTCTTGCATCTTGTGACTCAGGGCTGGTGGTTGGGGGATGATAACCAGAAAAAAGGAAGGTGGGCAGTGATGACATAGTGGTGCCTTAACCAGCTCTGATGCTGATCTGTATTGGGAAGACCCAAGGTCATTTCTTCTGTGTAGGCCTGCTGGAGTTGAGATTTTTCTGTCACTTGTGGCTAAAGGCGTCCTAATTTTGCAGAGGTATAAGTTTTTAAAATTATGTAATTCACAAGTGTTAGATACAGGAATTTCGGGGTGAAAATGATTCACTGGCTGCTCTCTGCTCTGTAAATTTTCACCTAATGATGAAATAATCTTATTTCTTATTTGAGAGAAATAGAGTGCAGGAAATTTCCTTTTGAAAACTAGTTACATTTTTAGGTATTTCTTTTTATAGGAAACAGCCTTTTAAAAATTAAATGACTTACTCATTGATCTTTAACCAGTTCTTTCTTGACAACATGTGGCTTGATGTAAGGGTCTGATTTTATTTTTCTAATGAATTGTGCATTGTCCATACACCAGTCATCTTTTTGTCCCTGATTTGAAATACTGTCTTTGTCAGGGATTAAGTGATCATCTGCAGTGGCTTTGCTCTTTGCCTGCTGAGCACAGTTCCTCACATCCTTCCAGAAAGCAGCGGAGCCCCAGAGCTGGCATGTTCCCAGAGGTCAAGGGTCAGTGGAGTCGTGGCTGGGGGGTTCCTAACAGCGGGTGACTGCAGGCCAGCGCTAGGTGTTTTTTGACCTGGGAGCTGCCAGCAGCTTGGTTATGCCTTTTTCTATTATTTATATTCTCGGTCTTGATTCATAGCTTTTAAGTACTCCAATTCGTTCTGGATCTGTTTCATTTATACAGTTCGTATTTTATACTTGTGCTTCAGAGCATGTTTGAATTTCTCTTGCTTTGTAATGCTTTCCTAAGTCTCTCTTTATTCTGTTTTTCAAAGCCTTCTTGGCTTCTCCCATATTATTTCTTAGAGACAACCTTTAGAATGGACTTACCAGGCTCCTCTCCAGAAACCTTTTGGGATTCTGACGGAGTTTAAATTCAGTCTCAAGTAACTGCCCGGCTACCCCGCTGGCTGGAGCACTCCCCTCCTCAGAGGCGGGGCTCAGGCAGGGCCTCTGTTAGTTTTTTTCCTGTGGGTGGGCTCTGCTCGTTTCTTTGCATGTTCTGTAATTTTGTGCTGAAAGCTGGATGTTTTAAGTATGATAATGTGGCAACTCTGGAAATCAGACAGTCCCCCGCCCTGGGGCTGTTCGCTGTGGCTTCTTGTTTGCTGCTTTACTGACTTTTCTTAACTATTTTTGTCAGTACTCGTCGTCATGTGTGGCCACCTAATTCCATTAGCTTCAGAGGTCAGACATGTTTTGTCAGCTTCCTTAAAACACTTGGAGCCAAAAAGAAAAAGGGCGGGGGACAGTCCCTCACTGTCGCAGGCCACCCGTGTCGGGCACTCCTCCAGCCGAGCCGGGCTGGCTTGGGGCCGCCTTGGCCCTCACCTGTAGCCTTCACAGAGCCCGCAGGCCGGGCCACGGGACAGCGTAAGGACTCCGCAGGTCTCTTCCGAGCCAGTGTCCCACCTTGGGCACACACGACTTCCCGGTACACATGGATGCTTTTGAAAGCCCTATCCCCCAGCTCCTTTTCCCAGCCTCTCAGTGTGTCTGCTGCTCGCCTTGCCTGCCATCCTGCCCCAGGTTGCTGCCCCCAGTACTTGTGCCTTTAAATGCCTCTGGCACCAGCCCTCTGGGAGGTCACCCAGGCGTATGACAGCCGAGTCCCAGAAACAAGAGGGAGCCCCACTACCATCTTACAGCGGCCACAGGCGAGGCCCACACAGCTCTCCGAGAACAGGGTCCGAGTCTCACCGCGGCCCGGCAGCCTGCACCAGAGCACAGGTGGGTGTCCATCTGGGCGCCGATGTGAGGGCAGGGGCGGGGCGGGCAGCTGCCGCCCTTCACCAAGCCTCCCTGGTGGCTGCAGGTCCTGGACTAGACTCTCAAGCTCCACATAAGTCGCCAGATCGCCTGTGGTTCCGGGGGGGACAGGGCCCTGCATTTCCCTGCTCCGCAGCTTTTGGTGTCACTCCTCGTCAGCCTTGAGTGCTCCGTGACTGCAAGTACAGATGAACGTTCTACGCTCTTAATTTTCTGGGTTTTTTTAATTTAATTTTTAAATGGTTTGTTCAACTATTTTTTTAATTTTTTCATTTTTGTGGGGAGGTAATTAGGTTATTCGGTTTCTTAATGGAGGTACAGGGGATTGAACGCAGGACCTCAGGCATGCACCCTACCACTGAGCTATTATTCCCTCACCCCTGGAATAAGCCGTTACTGTAAAGAGCTCTGGTCCCGTTTAGTGTGGAATACTATTTAGAAACCAAGATCTGGGCACACATCGTTCTAAAGGCAAAACACTGCACATTTTATTAGTTTTATTTATTCTGCACTGTGCTATTTGTTAGGACTCTGTTGATCCCACTGGTAATCTTGCTCTGAGACCACACTGGTTCTGAGCGGGCTTTCTCCCTGAGACTCACTGCTGGATTTAGTCACCAGCTCACTGCCAGCCTTGGAGGAACGCGGAGGCTGCACGGTAGGGTGACTGCAGCTCCCTCCATTGGCCAGTTCTCTGTCAGTGTCGGACTGGCTACCTAGTCAAGTGGCTGAACCAAAACAGAAGACTGAAATCTTGGGCACAATGCCAGACGGCTGGCCCAGGGAGGCAGGCAGGCCCTGTCCAGTGGTGGTATCCAGAGAAGAGGTTCCCTTCCTGTTACTTTTCCATCCCCCTAAAGCAGGAGTCAGCAAAACATAGTTCACAGGTCAGATTCGACCCACTGCCTCATACTGCACAGCTTGTGACCCAGGAATTATTTTTAAAGGTTTAAAAAAAAATCAAAAGACTAATAAGTTCTGTTTTAGCCCAAGGGAAGGAAGAAAAGAACAAACTTCTAAGAAAGTGACTCAGAGGGGAGGGTACAGCTCAGTGGGAGAGTGCCTGCCAAGCATGCATGAGGCCCTGGATTCAATCCCCAGCATCGCCATCAAAAATATAGATAACTAAACCTAATGACCTCCCCCAGAGAGGGAGGAAGGGAGAGACTCAGAAGACGACACATACTTTCCGCCCTTTGGGCCCCAATGTATCACCTGGCCATGCCTACCTGAAAAGTCAGTTGGGAAATCAGACCTCTAGGGATGTGTCCAGACGAAATGGGAAGAAAGAATCGCTTTTGCAGTACACACAGCAGGGTAAGTCTGCAGTACAACGGGAAGCCAGTTTGTTACGCGGAGTTCTAGGAAGTGATGCATGTACTCAGGGGTGAGACACTCCATCGTAGGAAGGATGTTTAAAAGTCCGGAGTGACCACCAGAGGGAGCAGCTGCGACCATTTTACTGGAAGTTGGCTCAGGTTGAAGTTGCCGTAAGTTTCAGGCATCGTTTCGGTACCTGAGCCGTAAAATTCTGGCTACGACTGAGCAGAATAAAACATTTTTGAGTACTTTAATTTGGGGGCCTTTAACTTTTATGTTTTCCTGTTTCGGGAGGAGTCCCAGGCACAGTGTTTAACATTTATTGTCAGCACTGGTTTCTGTGTGGACCCCATCCTTACTTCACCCTATACTTGCTACATGCCAGACCCCAGTTCCAGCCCCTTCCCGACTGGCACCCACACTCATAAAAAGTTATGCCCTTAAGCACATGCCACTGTAACCTACATAAGCATGTGTGTAATTTTAATTGACGTAAAAACACTGTTTAGTTCCATGAAATGTTTCATTTGTATCTGTAATTGTTCATTAGATGTGCTACATGCAGATCTAGGACACACGTCTAACTGCTTGACAGCGCCTGGCTGCACGACCACATTTTACTCACCTCTTTTGGGACATCCATCTAGAAGAGGTCACACATTTTATTGTGGTGAAACTCCCTGTATGTGGCCTCCCGTGTATAGAATTTCTCTGGAATGTACATAAACACATCAAGGTACCACTGTATAATAAAGCAGACACATCATTATATTTCAAAGGCATTTCCAGGTCTGTTTCCCAGATGGTTACACTGTTTATATGCTTCTACAGTACGTGAACATGAACGATTACCATTCACATCCTTAATCAGCATTTATTTACACATCGCTGTAATTTTTGCCATTTTGATGAGAACAAAGGGGTATTTTACTGTTTTAACTTGTATTTTCTAATTCCTGATGACTTCAAGCACTGACTGTCCCCTCTCTGAACTGCCCTTTTCTTAACTTTGCTGGATGTATCCCTACATGTTCTAGTCACTGGTTAAACCTGTTCCTTCACAGACGGATGAGGTTTGTCTCTCACCACCTGGCATCACAGCAGCCCTTTTCAATCTCATTCTTTTTTAATTCTGAGCAATTTTCAATCCATGTATTTTCTTCCATCTTGTTCCTTCCTCCCCAGGATACAGACACTGTCATCTCTACTGTCCACTGCTTCTGTTTCTT